GCTCACAAACGCTGCTTTATCAGGCATTACAGGCATGATGAAATGAAAATGAGACCAATCGGACCAATAACCGCAGATTAGCGTCATGCAAAGTAGGGATTTGGAAAAATTAATCGTTGAGCGAATGTTTGGGAGTCTTTGAGCAAGTAAGGTAAAAATAAATGCATATTATAAGACAATGAAAGTGTTTTTTGATCTTGCATGCATGTCAACAAGTTGTTGAGGGATTCCCAAAATGAAAATATGAACCTTCCATTACCCATAATAGGGACACTTTAACTGCAGAGCATTCATTGTTGAGCAAGTGATGTAATGCTCATCTGGAAAATTTCATTTTTGAGTGTAATTTTTTTTAAGTTTAATACTTAAAAACCAAGGACAAAGTAATACATGTATCAAGCTTTAAAACATTCCTGCTTGTATAAAGTAATGAGAGTGGGAACATGGAAAGATTTCCATGTGTCAGATAGATAAAACTACCTTATGCAGTCAGCATTCATTTCGTTTTCCACAAAGTACACAATAGGGGTTTGAGAAACCACTGCCAGAACATTCTGTCTGGTTTTCAACTTTGTCCATTGAACATTTGTAAATGCTAATTATGCAAATTCTTAGTGTATCAATTTCTACTTTTTTCTCACATTTCCCTGAATTAAAAATCTTTTTTGCATACTCAAACCACAAACATACACTAACTCCTTAACTGGGACAGACAGAAGAGTTCAAAAACAAAAAAGATGAAATAGACACACAGCTCTAAATGTTTTTATAGTTGTCTTTATTCTGTTTGGAACGTACAATTTACAGCAGGATCCATATTTGTATTGCTCATTTATCTATAAACCATATGATTAAGCAATCAGTGCACATATATCCAAGTTATACCCTGCATAGTATAATTATTCTATAATTGAGCCATTGTAAATGACCTTCACTTTTGTTGTTTTTAGATGTCCCGAAGCTTTCAATTTGTTTGACTAGTTTAATTTACAGTTCAAATTTAACTCAAAAGAAGTACTTGCTTACACCAGACATTTTAGATGTTTGCTCTTCAAAAGCAGCTGAAATGAATCTACACTGTATGTTGATCGACACGTTTTGAAGCATGACTCCTGCTCCTACTCTCATCTCGGTCTGCTTTTGCTCCTCCAGACCTTTTGATTTTGGTCAGATCTTGACCTCAAAGTTGCTTGTTCTAGGTCACTGCTTACATCTTGGCTTTTGAGGTTTTGTCTTGACTTCTGTCTTGGCCCGACATGAGACCGCAGTTTCATCCTATGCTGGATGGTAGCGTTACGACATCCTGCTGGCTGGGAGAGATCAACAGGGTTAATACAGTCAGACTTACCGTTATCCGTTATTAGCTGTTGCTGTGAGGGTAGGCTGAACTTACAGTAAAAGTGTGTGGTTGGTTATGGAAGACTGACCTAACCACAAGACTCTGGAATGTGTTCCAGTCTAAGCAAGAATTTCAGTGACGTTTGCCTTAAACGTTTGCCTTGCTGCTTATTAATAGTTAGTAATGTGTTAATTAAGTTTAGGCATTGAGTCAGATTAGGGATGTAGAATATGGTCACTTTATAAGTACTAAAAAACAGCCAATATGTTAATAATAGGCATGCTAATAAGCAACTAATTAATAGTGAGAATTGGTGCTTATACGAAAGTGTTACCAATGAATCTCCAAATGCTAAATGCAGATATGCACAAATAATGTATGAGAACTGTAGAGGAATACAAATCCAAAAACTGGACATTTTAGCAATTCAGAAATCCCAACATGTCCAGGAAAAATAGGATGTATGGTCACCCTTTGTCAATGAGGATCTGTGGACTGACTAGACTGAATGCTGTTCATTCAGTTTGGCATGTAAGTCAATCACGTTAAAAACATTGAGACATGGGTGGAAGAGTTATGAATGTGTAAGAATAAGTGATGACCACCACATGCATTATTAAAATGATGTCATGACGTTATCTAAGTTTTTAACAAATTAGTTAAGTGAACGAATCAGGACATCATAACACTCAAAAAGAATGGAGGTTTCTGAACTAATCATTTTAGCTAACTGATTAAAAAGATTTGAGTCATGGTATGAATCTAAATGCCCACCACAAGTAAACTGAA